AGTTAAACACACTCACTTTCTTACATATTAAAACACACATAATTTTTCTCACCAAGAAATTACACAAGTACTTCCACATATCAACATTTGCATTTTCAATTGTAATTCATATTATAAGTATATGATTTTACTTTACCACATCATCTAAGTATGATATCATATAATCTCATGCAATTAACACACTTTATTTCACATAGGCATTTTATCAAATATCTTAAAAGCACCAAATCATGTAATCACATAAAATGCCCAAATTTATCACATAACTCAAAAAAAAATTAGAATGAATGACTTTCATATTCCCAATTATCAAAACTTTCAAGAAATCATAAACTAGCAATTCCTAATTACCAATTTACACTAGAATTGAGCCTACCCATTTCCATTAAACCAACTATAATAGACAAGTGTTAAAATACACAAAACAGTCCACCCATTTCATATATTCACCCTACGTTGGAAATAAACCTAGTTAGGATGAAAACTCTACCTCTTGGAGTGTAAAATCAATGTAGAAAACCTCCAAGAACTTAATCCCAAGTTCAAAACCAAGTTTTCCCCAAAATCTCGTTTTTAAATCTTCGGTGAAATTCTTTGTTTTTGGTATGGTCTTGTAGCCCACGTCGAGGGAAACACTTTTTGGTCTTGGTCCAAGTTGATTCGACCAAAGCTTGGCCCTAGATCGCAAGAAGAAAGGCTTGAGAACTCTTGTTTTCTCTCTTTTGCTCCCTCTCTTTTCCAACGTCCAGACCAGTAGAGAAAGTGGGTGGAGAATATGATTTTTCCCACCCATTTATATTCCTTATTTCCTTGGTCCACAACGCGCCACACAACCCCTTATTTTTGGGTCCGTTTTAGCTCCGAAACGATTTAATTTCGTCCCGATTTAAGTTCAAAATATTTTATATGAACTTTATTTAAATTATTTTCTAAATTTTAAAATTTTAATAAAAATTTCGTTTTTGGGGTCACCCGAGACCCGACCACCTGACAAAACGCGAAAAAATTGACTATTTCAGAATTTGACGAAATTTGCCTGGATAACTAGATTTCGCGAGACGAATTCAATGGTGAGGTCTGTTTTGTTATCCAAACTCTAGATAAATACAGGTTTTTAACTCGCACTATAGTGACAAATTACCGTTTTATTATTTTTCATAAAAAATTCAAATTTTTTTGGGTTTTACACGGTTCAGGCAGTTTTAGACAGGTTCAGGCCGGTTCCATCTGTTTTGTCTCCGGTTCAGCGGTCCAGTGGACTTTTTTGATCCGATTCAGCAGTCCAATGGATTCCTTTGGTTCGGTTCAGCGGTTCAGTGGCCTTCTTTGGTTCGGTTCAACGGTTCAGTAGACTTCTTTGGTCCGGTTCAGCAGTCCAGTGGAGTTCTCCAGTCCGGTTCAGTGATCCAACAATCTTCTCTTCTTCGGTTCAGTAGGGCAGTAGTTGATTCTTGTTCGGTTTCGTGATCTAATAATTTTCTTTTTCTATTTGCTGCACTTATGGAACCTAAGCAAGATACTGGGTTGGTTATTATTATACGAGAGGAGTATGCTTAGTTCCTGTCCCAGCAACAGGCTGTCTTATCTCCCTCCATTGCTAATTTTGTCCAGTCAAGTATTGCTTCCACTTGTTTATTGTCTTTCACTCGCAGTTCTTGAATCATAGACTCTGGCACTTCAAACCATATGATTGGCGTGCCTAATGTTTTTTCTATTTATCAGTTTGCTACTTTCACACGTAGTGTTACTCTTGCTAATAGTACTTATTTTAAAGTTTCAAGTCTGGGGACTACTCACTTGAGTCTTGATATGCCCCTATCTTCCGTGTTATTTGTTCCTCACTTTCCTTTTAGTTTACTTTCTATTAGTAAGATTACCCGTTCTCTCAATTATTTTGTAACCTTTTATCCCTTTTATTATGTCTTTCAAGATCTCAAGATGAAGAGGAAGATTGGTACGGGGCATGAAGTTGGTGGCCTATATTACTTTGATTTTGATTCACCTACTCAAGCTCTACAGACTTCGTTGTCTCCTTTTCAATGACATTATCGTTTTGGACATCCCTCTCTCCAGAATTTGAAGCGTCAAGTTCCCAGTTTTAGTTGTGTGTCGTCTTTGTCTTGTGAAGCTTGTCAACTTAGTATGCATCATCGTGTGTCATTTCAGTCTAGAGTCAATAATCGTGTGTCTAGTCCATTTGAGTTAGTATATTCTGATGTATGGAGTCCAATAAAGGATATTTTATCTAATAAATATTTTTATTTTGTGTCATTTATGGATGACTATTCTCGTGTGACTTTGTTGTTTTTTATAAAAACTCGGTTTGAATATTTTCTATATTTGAGACCTTTCGTAAGGAAATAAAAACTCAGTATGATTGTCGTATATGTATTTTACGTTTTGATAATGTTCGGGAATATGAATCTGATCCTTTTTCAACGTGTCTTAGTAAAACTAGTATTATTCATCAGATTTCCTATGTTTTCACATCTCCATAGAACGGTGTTGCTGAACGCAAGGACCGTCATTTGTTGGTAGTCACACGTGCCCTGTTATTTCAGTTGAATATTCCCTGATATTTTTGGAGTGATACTGTTCTTACTGCTTGTCACCTTATTAATCGTATGACATCCTTTGTGTTAAATGGACAAAGTCCATATTCTGTCCTTTTTTCTGATAAGTCCTTATTTTTCCTAACTCTTAAGGTTTTTGGATGTGTCTGTTATGTTCACAATTTAGGTCCTGGGTTTGATAAACTTGACCCTCGAGCTACTAAATGTGTATTGTTGGTTATTCCCGTACACAAAAGGAGTATCGTGGCTACAGTCCTTCTCTGCGACGATACTTTACTAGTGCCGATGTCATATTTGAGGAATCTGTTCCATATTTTTTAGCACCTTCTCAGCCATTGGATCTGGACTTTGGGTCACCTCTTCTACCACCTCCTATTCCCTCATCTTCAGATATTTTGCTGCCCACTGTGTTACCATCTACTTTACCTCTTTGTGTATACTCTCATCGTCCTCGACCATCGACTGAGGTGCCCGTATCATCTTCCTTGCCACCTTCTGATCCTGGTCCATTAGGTAATTTAGACTCTTTACCTATTGCTATTCGAAAAGGTACTCATTCGTGTGTTACTAATCATCCCATTGCTCATTTTATTTCATATGATGCCTTGTCTCCTATCCTTTCTTGTTTTACCTATCAATTATCTACTATATCTATTCCTAAGCATTTACGGGATGCATTATCTAATCCGGGTTGGAGAAAAGCCATGGAGGATGAGATGGATGCCTTACATCATAATGGGATTTGGAATCTCGTTCCTTTACCTCCTGGTAAACGAACTGTTGGTTGTCGTTGGGTGCATACTATTAAATTTCATTCAGATAGTTCTGTGGAGCGTCTCAAAGCCCGGCTTGTTGCAAAGGACTTTACTCAGACCTATGGTGTTGATTATGAGGAGAATTTCTCTCTTGTTGCCAAAATTTTCTCTGTTCATATGTTGATTTCTTTGGCTGTTAATCTTGATTAACCCTTGTTTCAGTTAGACGTCAATAATGCTTTCCTACATGGTGACTTGGTTGAAGAGGTATACATGGAGCAGCCACCTGAATTTACAGCTTAGGGGGGTATGGTAAGAGTGTATGTCGGTTAAACAAATTTTTGTATGGTTTGAAGCAGTCACCGAGGGCATGATTTGGTAAGTTTTTAGATGCAGTTTTAGAATTTGGTCTTCTTCGATGTCAGACAGACCATTCTGTGTTTCATAGACAAACGAATGTTGAATATGTTCTATTGGTGGTCTATGTAGATGATATTGTGATCACTGAAAATGATTTTAAGGGAATTGTCAAGTTAAAAATCTTCTTGGAAGCATAGTTGTTAAATCGTGTATCGAAAGATGTATCGTTTTTCAAAAATAGTGTATCGTATCGTATCGTGTATCGTAAGATACGTGCAATTTAATTTTTAAATAATTATTAATAAAATATATATATACCTTTGTAAAAAAAATATAGACTCATAATAATATAGCATTTCATTAATATTTCATAAACTATTCAAGTTCCCAACATAGTTCAGTAATATTAAAATGTAAAGACCTTTAATTCAAATTTCTAATATCAACTGCTTGAACAATTTTAATATTAATCAAGAATTTTGAACTCAATTGAATAATATTAACAACATACTTCATTTTATCCTACACTACTAAATAATACTAAATAAAAATCCAACTACCTTACAAGCCATATGAATTTTTCTTTAGGTGTATCATTGTATGTAAATTCAAGAGTAAATGGTAAAGATTTATGGTTTGTATCCACTTTTTTGTCCAAAACATATTCATGTTGGAAATTAATATTTGAGATGTATCCAAAAATACAGAAACATTTTATCAATTATTGGATACTTGTGATGCGTAGCCGATACGTATCTAAAAATAAAGAAATAGTTTATTAATTATTGGATAAGAATACTTTTAAAAAAAAAAAATTATTGGATAAGTAAATGAGTATCATATAAGTATTCTCAATTATCTGACGAGTATCATATATGATACTGTATCCCTATATGACGACCTAAGTATCCATGTTTCTTATGAATTAAAAAGAATTGACTAGAACTGAACAAGGTGATATATCTTTCATTTGGTATTTGGTATCTACATACTGAGAGATCAATTTGGCTAATAAATTTCATAGTAATTCATGTATATCATTAGATTCCCATTTATGATAATACCTTACTGTAGCTATCTCCTGTTATAATAGAGTGCTCCAATTTAATTTCTCATCTCTTTCTAATACGTATAGACTTTTGATTTCCCTCATATTTGAAACTTCTGCCCTGGTGAATACCATTCAAAAGATGGTCTCCTTAATTATTGCCATGAAAAGATCGCTTTATAGCTGAGAATCAAAATCATTAGGAAGACTCATTAAAGATGATTGCAAGTAGATCTATTTTTTCATAAAGCGTACTGGGATATCATGCATGCGATGGTATATTTTTTTTTGCTGGACAAACACCCCTTCTTCTTGCAGAAGCGCTCTCCATGAAAAAAGAGCCAAGGAAAGATGACAGACTGCATGTTGTTTACATCAATGTAAAATAATCTAACTAGTTTGTTAAGGGTGCCTTAATATCTGTTCAAACTGGAAACAGGTGGTTCTTGTTGACCAGTCTGAACACTTTGTTTTTAAGCCAATGCTATATGAGCTTCTGTCTGGAGGTATGCTGCTTTCTGATTCAGTAGAGCTATTTTTCTTAATCTTTGAACCCCAGTTTCCGGAAAGTAATCTTTGAGTCCTAGTTTCAGTTTTTATGCTAAATTATCTGTACTGTCATGGTAAAAAATTTCCTAGTGCAGAAGTTGATGCATGGGAAATAGCTCCACGTTTCTCCGATTTGCTTGCAAACAATGATGTGCAGTTTTTTCAAGATAGGGTGAAACTCCTACATCCATCTGATCATTGGGGAATGAATGGTCCTGCATCTGGCTGTGGAGGATTTGTTCATCTTGAAAGTGGTCTCCTTATTGAATATGACTGGTATAATTCCTGTGATCCCTGAAAAAGTTACATTTTGTTTAATGTGGAAGTGTAAGTCTAATGGTGATCCTTCATCAATAGCCATAATTATTGGGAAAGTTTAACCTTGAAACTGAAGCAGAAACAAAATTCCTTTGGTTCCATTGAGGCAAATTTATTTTGATCAAAACACGCCGAAACTCTTGAAACATAGTAAAACGGACTTCTTTTCTCAAAAGGGGGCACTGGGGGAGGGGGGCAGCCTTATCTTTCTTTCTTTCCCTCACTTTCTAGAGTCCCCGCCATTTGAGTTTCTAATTGATAGAAAGTCCAAGGATCAAAATATCGTTTCGAAATGGTCGAAACATCCGAAACGTTTTCGTTTTTAAGGAGATCAAAACGAATCAGTGATGGAATCGAAATTCTAATATTTCGAGGTGTTCCATTGAAATGTTTTGTTGTATTTCAATGTATTTGCACAACTATTTCGGAACGCTTCAAGATATTTCAAGATATTTTGGTATATTTCGACTAATGTTTTGAAAAAATAATTCTTAAATTTTTTATTTTGTTTACAAAACGGATCGAATCATTTTCGAAATACATCGAATTGTTTCTGAAACACATCGAAACGTTTCTGTTTCTTAGGTGACGGAAACAATGCACTGAAATGAAATTTTGGTCTTTGAGTAAGTCCTTTTCCTACATGTGATTTTTAAATTTTGTTCTACCTTTTCCATAACCTTGATTTAATAGAGAGATCCTTTTAGCCTTTATTTATTAAAAGAACTCCTTTAATAATTATTTTTTACGTTGATTTTTTTATTCAATGAATGGGATCTGAAGGACCTATGGAATCATAGATTCTTTTTCTTTAATAATAAGGAGTTGTTTAGCATTACTTTTTTACGTTCTATTAGCTTTAGACTTGCTTCTTGAAATTGTGCTAGCTCTTTAAATGTGGGTGGGATTATAAGCGTCATACATGTGAATCAGGCAATTGTTGTGTGCTTATTTGTACAATTGTGCTTATTCATACAAAAATACATTTTGAATCTAGTTGTTGCAGATTTTTGAAATTGTTAGAGTTCTTCTTTCATATTGTCTTTATTATTCTAAATATCCTAATATAGGGCAATATTGTAATTCTTTTCAATATCAACCTAATGTATATAAGTGATAGGGTGTGGGCAACATATATTCTACTTACTACTAAATTAATGGAGTGTCATCTTGGTATCGGAGAATACATTTAAAGCGAAACTTACATCAGAAAAATATATCCAAGACAACCGGAAGAGACCCTACGTTTTTCAGTCGCTGATGTTATCATCTGGTGGAACTATAACCCATGTCTATGCTAGTATTTATGATGATTTTAATCTAATTTTCCTGAAGTTCATCTAGTGGATTTCCAATTTTTGAATTTTTTTTTTTTTTGAAAAATTGGTGCTGATTCTTCGATCCGTTGTTTTCGTAAAATCTGCATGTTTTTGATGCGTTTATTTAGACTCGAGGGTTTCGACAGAGTCCTCTTGAAGCTTTTTTGGTTGATCAATACTTGTTTGACTTCATTTGTGAGTGATTGTTGGTTGATGAATGGATTGGATGCACAATGAGAGTCATAACTGCATTTGTTCAATCATTTGAGGCTAGATTTCAGTTCTGTGTTGTGTGAGGATATGTTTGTGGATCTGATTTTGCTTCTATGAGGTGTGGGTGAGATTTCTATGTTTTTGCGGAATATTGGGTCAGCTCTTCCTGTTTGATAAGTAATTGATTGTGGGCTTCTCCATGGCTACCTCAGAGGATGTCAAAAAGTCATCGAGCATATGAACAAGTCAGACAAATTACTTTTGTGTCATTGAATGGCAGTAACTATTACTTGTGGTCTCATGTTATCAAAGTTTTTCTCTATGTAAAGAAGAAAATCCAATATTTAATTGATAGTTCTCTTTTTTCAGACTCCAAAAATTGTGGAGATTGGAGTGAGAATTTTTTGGTGATATCTTGGTTGTAGCTTAATATGCATCCGTAGTGGGGTCTCCAATATTCTACTTCTTGTTACAACTAAGAAGGTATGACACTCTCTTAAAGAGATGTATTCACAAGAATGCAATGTGTCACGAATTATGAGCTTTTTGATGGATGTTTGAAACCAAACAAGGTTGTTTTTTAATAGAACTTTTATCGATTAAAAAGGGTGTACAAAAGAGGTGAACAATAAATCCACCCTATGGTGATCCAAAAGACAAAAAATACATCAAAGAAAAAACATTGCATCTCTATAATTGCACGACAAATCCAATAATTAAATGCGGCTATCCTATCAATGTTGAGAAAATAAAAAGGCACATCCTTGAACTCATTTGTAGTTGATGCCTGAGGGGAAACCAAAAAATTTGCTCTATCCAAAAGAAATTCCACAATTTCTTATTTTCCTTCAAAAATTCTGTTATTTCTTTCCTACTATTTCACTTTCAAAATTTCCATAATTAATACCAAACAAGGTGATAAAGCTCTAGCTGAACATTATGGTGTTTTGGAAAGTTTATGAGAAGAACTTATGTTCTATTAGACATTGAGCTCTAGTTTGACACATAGAGATGCTAGCATGAAGAGTTTGAGGTTGCTTTATTGTTAACTATGAATCATTGTGTTGAGGTTCACATTTTGACTAGTGAGAGATTTCTGATTGTTACTAATGCTTACTCTTGTCTTCAACGTGCTTTTTTTTTGGTCTTGGGGATTCTCTTCCTTAATATCTAGTGAGGTAAACATCATATTCTTTGTGGTGGTGGACTTCATCCAACCCACAGTGCTAGTCGTAGTGGTCATTCTAGTAGTGGTAAGCAATTTGAGTTGGAGGGTACCCACTGTGGTGGCACAGGACACGCTAAAGATTATTTTTGTGATATTTACGGGAGACTGACACATGCTAATAAAGCTTATGGTGATACTTTGACCTCTACATCGCTTTAGATTCTACCGATATTTCTATTGCGTCTACTTCTAGTGCTCATGATGACCTTGGTATCCTACTTTCAACTTAGTCAGCTCATCCAACAGTTGTCTTCAGTTTCTCTATATTTGCCTGCTCCTATTGTTGGTTTTGCTAATTTAGGTACTTTTGCATGTGTGGATGATCAACCTTCTTCGTCCTCTTAGATCATGTCGGGTATTTTCTCCCTAATTCTCAAATTTCCGTTCTTCTAACTCACGTACTATGTTAGCTGTACCTTGGACTTTTGATCTCAGACTTACTCAATATATTCCACAAATCCTTGGACATTTTTTTTGTTATTTAGTTAACTAAGACCTTACAATGTTTACTCCATTTTTTTTGTTTTTTTTAGGACTTCAATATGAGAAGTTGATTGATTTGTGCACGAGGACAATGACTTTTACTACTTGGATCCTTGACGCATTGTTCTTGCCTTGGATGCCCACCGTGTCTGCTCTTCAATTGCACTTTTGATTGGGTCATCCTTCACTGTAGAACAGGGTTCAAAATGTAGGCCAAGTTTGACAAGTCTTGGCCACCTCCGAACCGATAATGGTGCATGTTACAAAAATATAAATAGACTCAGTTGAATCGGCCTTGACTCGGTTACGGCTTGGAGGAATCGACCCTACTCAGAGTCTAATTGTGAGATTGGACCGAAATGGTGTCACCTGTTTGGGAAAACCCCTGACAAGTTGCAAAAAGGAAAAGAGAAAAAGAAACAGAGAAGAAAAGGAGCCCACTTGCATATTTTCAACTCTAAATCAAAGACCCAAACCCAAAAGAAATCAATAAAGCCTAAATCACACAACTCTAAATTCGGAAGAAGTAATTTAAAATATCTACAAGTAAAACCTGTAAATCTAATAACCCTTTCTTCTTCTTCTTCTTCTTTTGTTGCACAACAGGCAGCGGTAGCCAGATTCATCCCAACTTCCCAACTGCAGTGGCAAGCCTCAGAGTGGGTCGAAGGCTTTCTTTCTCTTATTGCAATCTCTCTTTTGTCTTTACCCCTTGCGTATCACGTCTCGACATTGGGTCTAAGACTCATGAGTCAAAAACCCTTATCTTTTATCCTTGCAGAGATAATTGTATGATTATATATATTTCTTATTACTTAAATCTTGATGACTTCGGTGGGCATTAATCATATATTACCCCCTTGTGGCTGGACCTTTTGCACCTCACCTCCCTCACCTTAAAAAATAACCACATAACCCCCACATGGTTTGTGGACTAAACTGCACCATTAACGCCATTAAATGCACTATTAAAAGACCTTAATGCCCCTGTTCTTCCTCTTTCTTTTGCTCTTGTTTGTTGTCATTTTACTGTGTACACATCCCCAGAACTTTTAACTGAAATGAAATTAATTGTGCAATGCCCAGTAAAGCAAAGCAACAAATCAAGAGCCTATGGACATTGAGCACCAGCTTGACTCCACATTTGTGCAGATCCAAGAGTCCGTACATATCCATTTACAGTTTCTCTCTCTAAACACCTCTCTCCAAAACTCAAAAACTCTATCTTTCTCAACATTTCAAGGGGTACCCATTTTTCAAAAACCCTAGAAACCCAATCTCCACCTTCACATTCAGTTGATTTACACTACCCAAATCATCTGCATAGAAAGTCCCAAAAAAACACGGGTCATATACCCCTAACTCCTTTACAATCAGCCCTTGAACAGTTGTTAGAATTTGATAGTATGAGTACCGATAAAACCAAAATAATCACAATTCTGATTCTATTTTTTTACTTGATGATGAGCCTAAAGAAGAAGAAGGAGAAAATGAGTGTTCGCTTGCATGTGTGATTGTGGTTGTGTATACTAAGCCTTGAGGAGGAGGAAGAAGTTGAACATTTGTATATTTTCTAACAATTACAAGGACATTTTTGGCTTGTTATAATGTGTTTTTACATGCCTAGTCACAAAACTTTTGTGTGATTCACACATTTGCCAAGTTGGATGAAAAATTTGATGGTGCACTTTGGTCCACAAACTATGCAGCGGTTGTGTGGCTTCTTTAAAGGTGAAT